TCTCAACCCACCTAAAGCATTCGATCATAGGTTTCATATGATACCACAGTTACCACTATGGTACCGACGACGGTTAGTGCAGACGTCCAGCGTTGCCAACCTGTACAATTTGGTTACTGATAAGGAAAAATATAATGTAGGACGGCTTGGAACCGTGATCATTGTGCAAAGTGGTCGTCTTGTAGATGGGTTTCAATGGTAAAGACACGTTTACACAAAACCGATAAAAGTACCTTTCAAAGTGATTTCAGAGATAAAACACATATTGTAAAAAAAAGCTAGAGGACATGATTTAAATATTTAACATTATATAATATTGACCTATGCGTTGTAGATAATGCAAATCTTGTCTTCTTCATTATATAGGCGTTTTATCTCTATAGTCACATTGAAACGTACGAGGGTTTGATGTCCTCATTAGCGTGGTAACCCATTGATGGAAATTTTACTTTTCTTTGATAGATTTTTACCGATCGGTTCTCGGGTCACGTTATTCGGACGATAATGATTGTTGTATATTTTTTTAATATTGTTTGGTATTAGATTGAGGATACAAGAGAGCAGCAGCAGAGGAGGTGGGTCGGATATGGCGGTCGTGGAAGCGACCAATTAATCAAGATCGCCCGGTCTCAACAGGAGTTCTCCTGACGCTGAAGCTGCCGAGTCCCGGCGTCCGGCGGGCCCCATGCCGGGCGAGATCATGCTGCCGGCATAAATAATAGTGTCTACCTTGTGAGAAACAAAAAAAAATTATATATTTTATACACATATATATATATACACATAAAAAAAACAACACATAAGTACAACAATCGCGCAAAATGCACATAAGTAAAATGCACACAATTTCAGTCTGTATGTATGTACCTACCTGTGCAATACACGCATGCAATATGCAATAATACACACATGTGAGGCTTATATTATTATTATCATTATAGTCGAGAATAATAATTAGCATAATTAAGAACGGTATATTATAGTATATTATGTCGTACTCCGTTTAGGTTATAAAAACAGCGCTAGTAGACAGTAGATACAAGTGCACATTATTACCGCACTTAAATCTGGACGATATGATCGACACGGGTACACGCATGTATATATACATAGGTATAAACGTGCAATACCTATTAAAAATATGATAATAATATGTAAGTTAAGTGTGCTCGACAACGCCGCCCAGATAGGTAATTGAACTTTATCCGATACACCTGCAGTAGTATCCGTTAGTTTGATTTAAAACAAAAACGCTATTAATATACTAATATTATTATTATATATTTATAATCAAATACTATTACATTTTAATCGTGATACCGTATCTCCCCAGGCCGGAACAACAAGATTACCAACCAGCTCCTTTACATACATTAAGTAATAATAATAATAAATAACATGTTTTGTACTATTCCGCGTCGCCCCACGTCGTCGTTTTATGTTTGTTAATATAAAAATTATTAATTAAGACACGACTAAGTTAATTAACAGCAAATACAGGCTCCGTTGGGCCAAAAACCACTCATCATTATGACATCATCATTGACCGATAGTTAAAGCTTATAAGATTACATATTACACTTTCAGTTAAAAGTTTGATATTATAGATAAGAGATAAGCGATAAAAAACTAGAGATAAGATTCAAGTGATGAGTGATAAGACACATCTGATAAGAGAGAAAATATCACATTTCGTGATAACCAATGAGAACGTTGGAATCGAGGTAACCGCTTTGGTAACCCAACTAACATTTTGTTAACTTAACAAATAGAATTTAATAACAACAATAATGTTATGGTGAAACTTATTTAATTTAACCAGATGTTAAATTTAAATAAATTGTTAACTAAAATTATGTTGAGAGTGTATTTAATATAATAGTCGGTAAAACCAGCTGAAAATATGTTTTTGAAAAACGTTAAAAATCTTCCTAAAAAACATTATGAAATCATTTTTTGTTTTTCTGCAGACTGAGTTAATATATAGTTTTAACTATTATAAATTAATCATGATTTATCTCGTTTCCAACAACAAAATTCTTACAATAATCTCGATCACATTGAAATTATTTATTTAGGTTGTTTGTCATAACAACGTTAAAAAAAAATGTAAATAATTGTCATTGGAATAAAATATATATAATAAAATAATTTTTTTTAAACCGAATAACAAAATAGATTATTTAGATAACATTGTATTCGAATAGTGCTCAACTCTACAGGTATGTTATGTGAATGAAAAATACCTGTTGGCTTCTAAGTGTTGTGGGCCCACGTTAAAAGCGTACACAATACAAATCGCACCAATCAACACATAAAATATGACAATATGTAAAACGTATCGAAAATGATAATTAATTGATAAATTGATAAATTTCTTAGCTTAACACGGTTTAAAAACCGTTCATCTTCGTTTGTCAGCTAAGACTGCGCCCCTTATCCAATGGAATATAATTTTAATGTTCTCTGCTCACCACAAGAGCAGCTCTACAAGTGAAACGGTTGTGTATTTTGTATAATAGTATCAAATAGTAATGTGTGTGTGTGTGTGGACTGACAACGGTGTTATTTAATGTTGTTACACAATGGATGTGATCTGAGCGCGACGTTTTGATTTATATTAATATAAATAAACGACCGGAGGAAATTAAAAAAAAAAAATTGTCCAAGATTTATAACGTTCACAAGATATATTTAAAATGGGCCGACAACGGGGCACTGTCTCGGATGTGTGTGTGGTGTGTAAATTACTCGTTTAAACTGTATACTCTATAAATAGCTGAACTAAAGACGCGAGGCTGTTTTATCACAATATATTTTTTAATATGCAAAGGGGTTATAACGTCGAAGATACAATATTAATGGCGAAAGCGTGCTTGGTTGTAAAAAAAAAAAAAAACCATGTATATACATATACTTTATCTAGCAAAGATGACCCCAACTGTTGAACTTGTGAATCGTTAATTTTTTGTAATAATGCATCATATTTCTCGGAAACAATCAGAAATGTAAAACGTTACCACTTCCATGTTTACCTTGTACCTAGTAGACCTAAGTTTATTTTTCCATAATAAGTATTATTGTATTAATGTGTCCACTTTCGCAAACAAGCGAGTAGTTAGAAAGCTATTGGACCGTTTCCAAAAAAAAAAAAAAACTGTGTACAGTACTGCAAACGGTTGGTGTGTACTTAGGCCAACGTTGGCGGCTACTGGTTTCATAGTATTGTACAAAATTGCTAAGCTATGGGTAATACTGATAACCGCAGCCTGTAAGAATATATCGGTTAGTTTGCACTAGTCGAACAAATGCTAATAATGTGGGCCAAACAGACCAGTAGGACCTGCTTTGGAATACCACGAGAACAATAAAATAATTGTACTGTGAATATATTACAATGTATAATTAAGTGGAAAATTACAACTGTGAAATTATATTAAATCAAAAACAATTTTTATAGGCAAATTATTTATTTAAAATATTAATGTTCTTATTAAGGTTAGAAGTTAAAACAGTTATAGCATTATATTATAAACAGTTACAATTTATTAGGGCTCATTACATATCACTTTTTTTTTTTTTTTTAATATGTTATTTGTATTAATATTTTAAAATCAACAACTCGGCGTAGGACAAAGAGTTTATGATATTTTCATGGTTTGTCAACGTTCAAGGAATATTCCAATTTTGAAGCAATTGGACTATTTTTTAGATTTTCAACGCTACTCGGTACCTCTCAGGTAGGATTTCCGGTATTGCGGGTATCTTAGAAGATACAAAAATTGCGGTGATATTGAATTGAGTCCCACAAATATTTTTGGGTTGTCGGAATTGAGTCCAATAAATATTTTTTGGTTGTTTGAGTTGAGTCCCTTCAGCCTATTAGCGTTATCCAGGAAACACCACGTCGTGGAGGTTGGCTGATTAGTCTCCCAAAAATGTGTGTGCTTGCTTACAATGTTTATAAATGGTGAAAAAAAACTTTCAATTTTAATAATTAAAATAATGTCGAAATTTAAATAGTTGCTGGTAAAAATTTAAATGAAACCGATTTCAAATAGTCAAATCTGCTAATTTTTTATTTTGATATTTGATCCCGTGAAAATTGTTCTTTTTCCAATGTTTTTTTACATGGTTTTGTTGCATTGCTTCGTATTTTTATGTAGGTATCTGACTGTATGCCCAGAAGAGTGTCAACAAGAAAAAAAAATATTCGGATGTCTAGTGCTTGCTGAAAATCACACCAAATTTTGAGGGGAAACTGTCCAATTTCATTGTCAATGTAATTATCTAAAATGTAATCTGTGAAACTGTCAATTTTATAATCATCACATGGTTGACCATCAAATCTTCCGTGAAACATTCAACTACGTCATTTTCGTTTAAAAATGGCAATCCGAAAAAGTACTCGAGATGTTTACTTTTCTCAGAATTAGACTTACGTTCCTTAGACAGACCCGACTTGTGAATTTTTCGCCACCGGCTTTTTCTTTACCAACACCAAACGTATTTGGGACTCAATTCAATACATTCCCTCCTAATATAATAGCAAAGGAGACTATCCTTACGATCTTATCCACGTAATCAATTCAAACATATTAAGAGATAATAAACTGGACTCAATTCAAATAACCGAAAGTAGGATCGTCGTCTCAATTCGATGTTATCCGAAAATTGAATTATAAAAAAACAATAATTAAAGGCCAGGTAAACAGTATAATATATCAGGAGGTGCGATCCGAGCGCGGGCAGCACCCTGTATACACATACGAGAGGCATCTGAAAACTTGTTTGACTAGGCAACAGCACTCGCGGTGTATACACACGACGACCGCGATGGTCAGGCCAACACACTCACACACACACACATTACAAGAATGGGATAACATGTGGAGGAGAATAAAGTTGATCTTGTCTCACACCTGCTGCCGCCGCCGCCGCCGCCGCCGCCACTGCTCAAGATTGCCTCTGCCCGATGAGCATTCAGTATCTCCGGAGCACCGGTTCCGTTCGTTTCACCTGACCGGTCGTTTGTGATTGTGGTGTGTGTGTGTGTGTGTGTGTGTGTGTGTCTATGCGATTGTGTGCGCGCCGCCGGTTATCGTATACCTCTACCTGTATGATTTTTGTTAATAATTATTATTTTTCACACGGACGATAATTATCGGGGAAAAAAAAAAATTAATAATAGCAAATAAAACCCAATAATAATTACATATATATATTTTAATTAATCGTATTACTCACACGTTCGCGAGTGCGACAGTTCCGGGGTGGTGCGGCGATTATTTGGTTTCGGCGTGATAACGCTTATCAATAATCCAGTCGCGGTTATCAGTCGTTTATTTCGCGGAGACGACCCGACGACGACCGGCGGTTACACTCATCAGGTAAACTCAATGTTAATAAGCAATTTACACAATATAAACCCTTGGCTAGGATCAGTGGCTTAAGTACCAAGACCCTCCTATGTCCCGCGGTAGATTTACACGCACACACAATAATATATTTTTTACACGCGTTAGATAATGATGATTTTCCACAATAATATTATTACTGTCATACATTGGCAATAATTTGTCGCGGCGTCGTGGGCGAACCACCTATTGTCGACGTCGTCTACCGCAGTGTTTTATTTACACAAACTCATAATAAAAAACAACAGTCGCATTAACGACATAATATAATAACAAGTAATCGTACATAGGCCGTGTACCTATTGTCAGCGTTGTAAAACGTCGGCGGATTGCGGTAATTTATTATTACACCGTTTTTTTTTTTATAAATATAATAATAGCTGATATATTATTCTAATACCGACACGACAATATTTCGTTATGTTGATCTTTTTTTTTTTTCTGCCAATAAACTCTGTAGCGAAAAAAAATATTGCTATTGGTCGTCGCCCACGTTCCTTTGGAGCTGGACGAAAGCACTTCTTGCTTAGAAACGTTAAAAGATTATTATTCACTTTTTATAACACACACACAAACGAGTGAAATATAAAAAATATATACTCTATTAAATTATGTACTACCTAATACGATTATAAACAAAGTGTGTACTCAAACAAACTTATAGTGTGTAAAACACATGTGGGCACGCGCTCACAATAAAAAAAAAACGATCGTGTGTGTGTTTTTTGCTCGCCCTGCTACATCCGGTCCGATTATCTCGATAGATAACGCCGGTGTGTGTATTGTAATATAGTACACATGCTAATAAAAAAATCCCGGTAAAAAAAAAAGAATAGAATCGCCGCAAAACGTTGCAATCAACGTTCTTGTCGATTTAAAATGACATTTATTACCAAACAGCGTCCTAAGTTAGAAAATATTACCATTTTTTTCCTCATCATTCACATTGACTTGTGCGCCACTGAGGGTTTCGGGCATTGGAAAATTATCAGCAGGTAATACCAAAGCTGACAACAGCTGTAATAATTGACCGGTTGTTTTTTCTTATAAATAATTCAAATATAATTGCACCGTTTTTCACAAATAATAATAATTAAAATAGTATTGTCGCATCTTGTTTTCATAGACAACAACAGATTACTACCAATTACCTACCCAAACACTATTGATTTGTTAACACAACCAAATATATATTATTTTGATTTATTTTAACAATATTATCATGGTTCGAGTCATAATATTTTGAAACGTCGCCTTTCACAAAACTGTATATTATAATATTGTATACTGTGTGCTGAGTAGTGATACCTACTACTTAGTGTAACGTGTAATTCCATATTATTTATTACAAAACGACACATCTACATTACAATGTGTCGAGAATAAATTTCCAAGTCAACTGGTTCAAAATATTATTCATACTTAGACCGCAACAAGCCGTCATTATGTATAGGCATTACCTACGCGTTTCCTTCTCTGGGCCAAAGTAAGCAGTGTAACAAACAGCAATTTCAATCAACTAGTGGCTTTGTATGGTTTATATAGGTTCAATTAGTACCCTTAACTACCCTTAAATGTGATAATATATAATGAGCGGGAAGCTGTTTGTTTAATCAATATATATATATATATATATATATATATATTTAATGACGGTCAAACCAAACGACAATAGTGCAATGTGTTATTGTTGTGTCTCCAATGCGGTTTGTCTCTTCTTTTTTTTTTCAGCATTTAATCTTTGAATAACTTTAGCCGCTCTCTTCAGCACTAAGTGACCGTGCCTGCCCAAGTGTAGAGGTATACATACCTCTACTGAAACCTGACAATAGCGTCATTGTGTTTTATCGTATCCGCCGTTTACTGTTATATGTACACCGTACAACAGCTCTTCTTAATCAATAAAATCGATCGAACAGTTTGTATAATAATATATAAATGGCAATTGTTTACACATTTCTTAAAGTTTCAAAGTTAAACCGTAGACAGCCGCACCGAGGCTTGCCTATCAGCAGTGTATTTTGTTACAAGCATAAAATGTCTTAGATATATGTATTAAAAAAAAAAAATAAATAAAAAAAAACATTGTACTAGGTAATTGTCAGGGTGCTTGTGTTTGTACCTACTCTAAGTCTCTTCCGAGTATCTAAGCATATTTTTATTAACCATGAGTAATGACTCTTATGAGTTTTAAATGCATAGTAAAATATAATTTGCTTTAATTTATAGAATCGTTCTGTTGATGGGATGAGTTATTTTTTTTTTTCAAAACTAATCAAAATTAAGCACACCATCAACGAACACAGTAGAAGTGTTAGATATTATTTTAAAAAAAAACCCAATAACCATAAATTTGTCTTTTTAATACAAATTTACTTTGTCCTTACTTGTTTTTTTCCCCCACAATTTCATACTTGACCGGTGTACCGTGTGTACACTCACATTGTAAGGGTGTCAATGAGATGATAATCTTACTTGGTTATATTGTATTAATTGTTATAAGCCACCAAATGGTTTTTAAAAAATATTTTCATGGTATTTTGAACAGCAAGAAAAACGCCTACCGAGTCGGGGTCGGCATGTAGACTCGCTTGATTTTTTTTTTAATTTTTGAAGAATTATTTAAAACGCATATTTTATTATTAAGCAATTAATTAAAAAAATTATGAAAATTTAGTGGAAAAAATGGGTTTTTATGAACTTTACAACTTTGCAGCGCTGCAGTGAATGAACTTAATCAAAATATGGTTCTGAAACTCTTCACTGCCGTTCTGTAACAAAATCCGTTAATCGGTTTCAGAGATCTGCGTGGCTGAAGAAAAATGTAGCTAAAATTGACAAATTTGCTTAATTGTAAAAAACTTAAATAATTTTGTTTACACTGTTTGGTTTATAAAATTGATGTTTATTTGTTGTATCTTCTCGATAAGCTAGATAGCTTCTCGATTCTTTCTAATTAGCTTGGAATCAACTGTCTGTCTCTTATGGTTTGGATACATGTTTAAATTAAGCGTTCATAAGATGTAACACACACACAGACTTTTTTCAAATTCAAATCATTATACCGCTTGAGTATTAAATCCGGTCTGCTGTATCTTGTCTTATAGCCAAGACGAATATCGGCTATCTTCTCGCTATTGGTGTGTAGCTTTTTGTTTTTTCCCCACCCACAACAAGCTCTTAAAGTTGTCGACATCAGATTGTCTATCGTTTCGTTAACCGCAATACTCGGTTGATTTTTTAAAAACCAAGAAAGTAAAAGTAAAGACTTTGAGTGCTGTGGTCATTGGACTGTAAAAAAGGTATGTACAATTACATACCTGCGATTGTATGTATATACTTATTATTTATTATATTATTGTAATTACATATCTAATTATTGTACCCGTGTACAGAGTATTCGTTTTCTTGCTATATATTAATATGGTTGGGGGTGGGGACTAAAAAAACACAATATTTACTGTAAAATACACAAACAATTTTTTGTATTTTTTTTCACGATTATACCGGCGTTGTATTAGTGTGATAATATGCATTTATACAGATAGGTCGTGGCCTCCAGATGAACAACAACGCCACAATGATATTGTATTATAATCTTTATTTACATAAAATACACCAAATCCGTACAGAAACCAGAGAACAGTGGCGGGCGGCGACGGCAGCTAATAGTATCATTTCGAGATTGACTACTGATGATGTGTTTTTGCGGTTTCTTTTTACTTTATACACACACACCGTTCTTATTGTGAAAACAATACCATTTCGGTGTGTACCATTATAATTTGTTGTTATGTAAAACTCGGCCTGACAATACAAAAAAAAAAAAAACCAACAGTCTTAAATTACAACATAATAAGCATACAGCTATAATATGTACTGTGTGTCATAGTATATAGGTATATAGTGTTGCGTTATGCGTAGGTACATAAAAAAATTATTTCATTTTTTTTTTTTAGGTACCTAATATAATAACAATACTATGTATTTTTGAAAACAGCCTAAGGGTAAATTTTAATTAAAAAAAAATCATAAAAAATCGTTGCGATTATTTTTTTTTTTCGCCTCTTTGCACAACATTAATAACATCTATATAGAGTTTGTATTAAATTATTATTATTATCATACCGACACTTAAACGTTCTCGTGTCGAAAAACAAATAAAATAATATGTAATACCTACACAATATCGCTCTTGGGATGAGAGAGACCAGAAGGTTTTTTTTTCGGACCGTGTAATTATATATTATTATTATGTTGTGACTTACCGTACACCGTCGGTTCGTGATCCACCGAAACAATGGGATGTACACTTGTAATGATATACGTGTATTTTAGACTCCAACACTTCATAGAACAGTGAAAGTTTACAATAGAATAATCGTACATGTTATATATTGTATACAATATAATATATAAATGCGGTGTTTATTCTAAGGACACTATATAATACTATGTTATATGTATATACATGCAAATCGTGTTTCTTTTGCACCAGTAACACTCGAGCACATTTTACACGCTATATTGTATAACCATATCTTGTCGGGCCTTGGCTACCCGCAATGTAGGTATACCTAAGTACTGTATAAGAATATATTTTAAGTCCTAGTTCGTTTTTTAGTATTTAAAACATTCTATAGCTCATATTTACCTACATTGCCTGCGCAAAAACTGCAATTCGCCAAATAAACTAAACAATATCATTGTTGTACAAATCCGAGCTAACGCCATTAATGTAACATTGTAGTATAGCGATACATTATATCTCAAACGTAGGATTTGTCCATCCACAAACGAGCGTTGATAGGTTTATTTATTTTGAATCATTTGCCAAAATACCTAGCAAAACCTTGGGGTAGTAGCCCCCACGTGCTGGTCAGCAGCAATGCTCCATTCTTATGAACGGACGATACGATGCGCAACTCACGTCCTTGGTTAACCTGAGCTTAAGGGAGATCTTCCTCCGCCTA